CCAGCCAGCATGGCTGGGGAATTCTGGGAGTTGAAGTCCACTCATCTTAAAGTGGCCAAGTTTGGACAACACTACTGTAGGCAAAAGAGCAGCTTTTATGAGGATTTAGGATGGGTCCTTAGATCCAATGTTCTTGAATAATGAAAACCCATTCAGTTCCAATAAGCAATACATGAAATGTGAGGGAAGGCTCGGCCCATTTTGCTACTTTTAGAAGGTGGCTCCAGCTGAAGGAAGTTGTAGTACTCCTCAACATTTCGTGATTGGCAAAATACTGGTTGTTGCGTGTGGAAGATAACTGGTGGCTTTATATATTCTATTCATAGAGAAATGTCAGTGTCACTTCTTGAATTCCACATTCCTGTTCCTGGAGGTTGTCCCCCTGGAAGTTAGGGCTGGAGATCAGGTTTGGCTCTCACAGCAACGTGGGAGGAGAGCTGTGTTAGTCAACAGTAGCCAGAATTCAGAAAGAGTCCAGTAGCCCCTTTTCTGGCTCATCAGTTTTATTAAAAGGCGTAAGATTTTGCGAGCTTCAGCTCCCTTCCTCAGATGCATAGAGAGGCTGGACTGGTGCACAGATCTCTCAGTCAGGCCCCAGATGTCTTCTTATAGCGAGTGTCCCCAGATGTCACCTTCTGCTTTTGCCTCTCCACCCAAAGAATGAATGGCAAGGGTTATCAGGTTGGGTGGGGCCAGAGAAAAGGAGCATCTGTTCTTACCTGTCCCCCCTTCTACAGATTTGGGCTTGAAGACCAAGATTCTTGGGTCAAAGGCTTCCACCAAGCATCTGGCAAGAGGGCATGAATGATTGTTTACAACAGAAAGAAAGAGAAGGTTCATAGCATGTGACAACATTATTGCGGCAACAGGGGGGATTAAGAGGAGGTAGGGTTGTGATTTGCAGAGTTTCATCACCCTCCTGTTTATTTTTGTTTCCTTTCTGTCTGCCTCTTGTCTGTACAGGCTCCTAGGCCGCTCTGAGACCAACGATGGGGGAACAAAGATAGAGAATGAGGTAATGGCAGGACCATCTGAGAAGCATCTTTTGTCTGAGCGTGAAATGGCGACTCCGTAGCCCAAGATGAATTGGTTGTGAGGGGCGTCTTTGTACAGCACGGCTGGAGGAGGCATTTCTCTCTGGAGGACCCTCTGAAGAGAAAATGGGTCTCCCTTTCCTCTTGCCAGTCTCCACCAAGATGACCTCATTCCTTTGGAGGACAATGGAAGGTCTGGGCCTTTAAGTTCGTAGCCGTTACCTCATCTTCTTCGTGGGGGCTGCAGATTGAAAAGCAAACTGTAGCTCAAGTTCAGCGTCTGTCGTTGTCATGGCTGATGAAATGAATGGTGCTCAGCTCGTGACCGGGGAGAGGCTGGTGGCTTGGCTGGAAAGCGGCATGGAAAAGTTGCTCCTGATTGACAGCCGTCCCTTTGTGGAATACAACATGTCCCATATCTTGGAGGCCATCAACATCAACTGCTCCAAACTCATGAAGCGCAGGTTGCAACAGGATAAGGTGCTGATCACCGAACTTATTCAGCATTCGGCCAAACAGAAGGTAAAGCTCTGGTGAGCAGAGGGCGGATTTTTCTTTGGAAACGCACTGACATGCGAAGGGCAGAATTGGGAATGGCAAGAGATGCTCAGGGAATGCTGCGCGGGCCTTAATGGTGATTGCCCCTGAGATCCTGCACACCTTTCAGCTTCTGGCACAAATGTTTCCTCTCCCAGCCTTAAGCGGAATTAAGAGTTTTCTCGGTACCGGCCTTAATCATGATCATTGCTAACAAGAGTTTGCTTTCGGTGCTGAAACATGGGGCTACGAGAGAAAGGTAAAACAAACACTGTTGGAAGAAAGAGTTTCATGTTTTCTGAATTAAAATAGCTGCGAGGTTTAGCAACCTTTCTTTTTTCACTCAAAAAAAAAGTTCAAATCAGGTTAAGCTGATCGCAACTTGTGGCAAGGCTGATACAAACATTAGTGTCCGGTAGAAGCCGCAGTGACGCGTGTGATTTCGCTTGACCTCTTGCTCCCCGGAGGATGCCGGTCTTAAACTGTGTCAAAGGGGGGCCGAGAAATTCGTCTTGGAGCACATGAAATCCAGTTCCAGCCTCTCAGGCAGGATTAACAAATCAGGCCCTCAAAGACAAATTCGCTTTATTTTAACCCATGTTTTGTTTTGGCCATGATGGGCTGAATTAGTCATAATTGTCTGAGATCATACATCGTCTTCTTCTAAGCAAGCACAACCACAGTGATTTGGTTCACACATCAAGCTAAGCCGAAGCCCGACAATTGCCAAATTTAGTGCAGTGTGTAAATCTGGCCTATATTTCACTTAATTAATTCATTATATTTACATCCCCTTTTCTGTTTGGTTTGTGCACTCAAGGTAGCTAACTTTTAGTAGGATACAAAATTCAAAACAGTAAAAAAATAAAAGGCGTAAATTAAAACCAGTGTAAACCCCAATCGTCGTGCATCTCCTGTGTTGCTCGGAGTTTGCCAAACCACATGGTTCTGCTTCACTGTCAGTGTTTCAAAATGATCGAGTTATGGTCTCCAAATGTACATTCTGAAAGCCATTAGTCTCCTGAATAATCTTACTTTCTTTCTGAATGCTGCTGTGTGTTCCCAAGGCTCCGTGTAGCAATGTATTATCCTTGGAATTACAGCTAGTCCTCACTTAACAACGATAATCGGGACTGGAATTCCTGTTGCTAAGCAAGATCATATGACTGTGCCGCTTAGTGACAGAACTTCCGGCACTTCTGGCTGCTGTCATTAAGCGCAACATCACGTGGTCGCCATTTGTGATCCCCTGCCGGCTTTTCCATTGACTTTGCTTGTAGGAAGCCGGCAAAATTACAAAGTAGCTGCAAAATTTGCATATCTTTTATCTGTGCATTGTACTTGCATTAGTTTAAACATTATGAAGAGCAAAAGAACATAAAAAGCAGTGCAGAGAACAGCAGAATAGGCCAGATGAAAATCCAGGGGCGTCTGCAGGGCGTGGTCAGGGTGGTGGACCCAGCGGTCCGATCAAAGCTGTGCCTGTTTTTTACACGCACTGATTTTTTTGATCACACCTGCAGACAGCTGGGTTTCACAGCAACAATCAGTGCAGCATGAAATCGCAAACATTAAGGAGCAATAAAATGTTGATAAGAAATATTGTTTTTTTTTTTCTTTTAAATGCCTGGGAACATGAAACAATCTTTCGCTGGTACCAGCAATGAATATACAATACATTTCGGTTATTCTATAATCCAAATCCCCAAAACAGAGGGACGAGAACTGGCCGCAAGATAACGAAAGTTTTGAGCCGTGTCATTGACACATCACTCCTGGCGCCACACTCCCAGCCAAAATGCCGTGTGCCTTTGTTTTATCTTTCCCTCCTTAATGCTTTTTTTTATTATTATTTTTTTGTGATGAGAAAGATGTCAGAAGTGGGGAAACATGGAGGATCGTAGAGACCCCTTGAAATAACCCCTGTTTGAGACAGGAGATCTGCCCAGTAATAACCTCATCAAGAAAAAACATAGCTATGCAGAATCCGGACTACCTTGGAAACTTTGATTGTTTCTTGCATTTTCTCAATGACTTGTCCTAGGTTGAAATCGACGGCAAACAGGAAGTCGTGGTGTATGATCAAAACTCAGCCGATCTGGTTTCTGTCCCTCCCGATTCTTTTCTGAGTCTCCTGCTGAGAAAACTGGAGAAGAACTTCCGCTGCGTTCACTTGCTTGCAGGTAGGGTTCGTGGGCAGGACGCGTGAATATTCGTACCAAAGAATAAGTGCGCATAAATCCTGGCACCCACACAGTTTTGCAGAGGCTCTCTAAAGGTGTGTCCTCTTTCTCTTCTCAAACAGAAGAAAATGCCAACACTAGCAAAGGGGAGTGTAGTAGCAGCGTGGAAAGAAATTGAAAGGGGCCCGCCTTGGTCTTGTTTGGCAGCAGAGAAAAGCTTGGGCAGGCTTTCCATATTCTGTTATTCTACCCTACAAGAATAAAGCGGCATTTCTGGAACTCCTGCCCTGTCTATGTCTTGACCTAGCCTGTCTCGAAGGGCTGACCTCAATCTTGAAGGCCTGTCTGCTGCCCCGAATGAAAAATGCCAATCCATTTGAACTTGCCAAATATTTTTGGACGGGGCCCCTCCATGGGTGGGATCCAGGAAAATGGCTTGCATTGTCCGCCATTATTCGTGTCTTTTCTAATCTGCTTGGGTCTCAGACAACACCAAAAAGATTGAACTCGTTCATGTGCAAGTTAGGCCTAGTTGCCTAACTTTCAGTTATCAACTTTTTATTGAGTTGTAATGATTTCTTCCGCCAAATTTACGTTTCGCTGTCCTTCGTTCTCTATATATTCTTTTGACTTGTATCTCACCTTTTGTACATGACCGTCATGACACTTCAAAGCAAATAGCTTTAGCTTCAGGCATACAGTAAAATAATGCAGTAATATAATATAATAGATTGTTCCAACCTATAGGTCGGTGTAGTCATGCTGGCTGGGGAATTCTGGGAGTTGAAGTCCACCCATCTTAAAGTTGCCAAGGTTGAGAAACACTGCTATAGGTTATAACAGTAAATAATAATAATAATAATAATAATAATAATAATAATAATAATAATGCAAAATCTTAAATATTACACAATTCAGGATAATAGCCATTAAAAA